TAATGATTGATCAAGGGCTAGAATCTAGGTCTGTCCAGCTCGCAATCCTTTGTTTTCCCATTCCATGGCACTGCCTGCGACTTTGAGGCCCCTGCTGCACAAGGAAGTAATCCAAAAAGACCCAACACTGGAGGGGAGAAAGACCTGAGGTCAGGAAGCCACCAGGGGTGGGGCCTGGTGCCCTTCTTGCACCTGAAGGCAATGGTCACAGATGGCTGCCACCTTCTGCACCCCCAGGCTCGCATCCGTCCGACAAGTATTTACTGAGTGTGCAGTACACACCAGCAGTGCAAGCTCAGGAGACAGCAGAGGACAAGTCAGACAAGATCCCTGCACTTGTGTCCCTCACAAGCCACTCAGGGAAGACAGACGGTAGAGAGCTGAACAAATATACTTATTTATAAGTTTACGGATTTTGTTCATTTATTCAATAAATAATTGCTGAATACCTACTAGACACTGGAGATATTGCAGTGAACAAGGTAGAAATGGTCTCCACCAACATGGAGCTTACGTTCTGTGAGGGGCACAGGGTGTCAAACGATAAGCAGATAAAAATATATTGTAATATAATATGTCAGGCCATAGATTTCATACATGCTCTGAAGAATATAAATAAAATGCACAGTGGCTTCCTTCCTTCATTCTTGCAATAGGGAAGTCAAGGAGACATTTAAGGCAGCCCCAAGAAATGAGAAGTATCCAACTATTCAAAGAGTGCAGGGAAAAGCATTCTAGGCAGAAGGAATAGCATGTGTGAAGGCTTTGAGGTAGGCCCTCTACTAAGCATTACGCATGGATTATTTCCTCACAACCACCCCACTAGGGAGATGCAATTATTATTGTTAATAATAGATAACAAGGCTCAAAGAGGAAGAGGGACTCCCTTAACACGTGCATCCCTTAACTTCCTGAAGTGGCAGTGCTGGGATTAGAACTCAGGTTCATGTGACTGCCAAAGCCCATGCCTCGTTTGTGATATTCAGCCCCTTTGTCCTCTTCTGGAAGACAGGCATCTGCAAGAGAATGGGAGCAGGTGGTCGGCACCTCCAGAGGGGTGAGGAGATGCTCTGACCCTGCAACCTGAGCCACAGGCAGAGCCAACAGCATCAGGGCCACCTCGTAGGATCGTGCTGTACGGACAGTCACTGTCTGGTCGTAGAGCCAGATCCCAGCCCTAAGCTGTGATTATCTTGTCACTGTCAATGAGAGGTTCTGCCACAGCCATTAGAGAATGCCAAGGCTGACTGTCCCTTCCCTTTCCTCGAGAGAGGATCTTAGAGGCATGAGGACACCTGGGAGAGGGGCGTAGGAAAATGGGGGATAACAACGCAATAATAGTAGTAGCAAAAACTTTCTTAATGCTCGCTGTGTGCCAGGCACTATTCCAAGGGCTTTGAGTACACTGACTTGCTTCATCTTCACAAGCACCCTGTAACATCGCCCCCATTTTACAGATGAGGAAACTGAGGCCCAGAGAGTCTTAGAACTTAGGCAAGATGACACAGCTAATAACTGGCAGGGCTGGGATTTGAACCGGCTGGCTGGCTCCTGAGCTCACACTTTTTTTGAAACCTTTTTATTGTAAAATAAGACACACAGGAAAACATATAGAACAAATGGACAACCTAGTGAATTCTTTTAAGGCGAACACCCTTGTAACCACCACAGGGGTGGAGAAGCAGAACTTTTCCCGACGCCCCAGAAGTCCCTCTCTGTGTCCCCTCCCAACGTAGCCCCTTCCCTCCCGCTCTCTAAAAACAACCGCTATTTGGACTTTTTATAGGAATAATTCCCTTGTGTTTCTTTACGGTTTTTTCACCCGAGTGTACATCCCAAGACACCATCATTTGGTCAGGCCCGTTTTTTCTTAACTTGATACCTTTTAAGTCTTAATCTACAACTTCTCCCTCTGTCCCTTTCTTTGCCTTGCGATTTATCTGTTGGAGAACCCCTGTGGAGTTTCCCAGCCTGGCTTTTGCTGAGGGCACACTCACGGTATAACCCAAGAGTTCTTCTGTCCTCTGAATTTCCTGCCAATCCCCCACCGGATCTAGAGGCATGATGGGACTCAGGTTCCACCCTTTTGGCAAGACCCCGAGGGGTGCGTTCTCCTGTCAGGGGCTCGGAATGTCTATTGATCAGAGACCTGCTCTTAACCACATTGCTATATGGACACTTCCTGGCGGCCCTCAGCTGCCCTGTGATTTGCCCCACCCTGTGGACCTATCTGTCCCCAAAGGCAAGCTTTTTATTGGCACCAAGGTTGCTGCTGCTGTGGGCCTGCCTCACACAAGAAGGCAGCCCTTCGGAGGTCCCGCCTGAGCCTCTCCACACTCCAAGGTCAGCGGTGGGAGCGCGCCTCGCCTCCCTGATGGGTCTCATCTCTCTCTGCTCCTCCCTCCAGCCCGGCACACCAGGCAGATGGTGTGCCTGCTTCGTTTCCCAAAGGAGCCTCGCTCTCCCTTACCTCTGGGCCTTTGCTCATGCTGTTCCCTCAAACAGTCTTTCCCCCACCTCCTGTGGCTAAGCACTGCTGATCCTTCAGGTCCTAGCAAATCTGTCCCTTCCTCCCCACCCCGACCCCGCCAAGTTGGATCGGGTGCCTTTTACTACCCTCACTGCGCATCGGCTAACCTTGTAAGTAACCTAGGGACCAGCACTTATGCCACTACGTTATACTTGTCTGTTTTCTATTTCAAAGATTGGCACCTGAGCTAACATCTGTTACCCATCTTTTTTTCTTCTTCTTCTTCTCCCCAAAGCCTCCCAGTACATAGGTGTATATTTTAGTTGTAGGTCCTTCTAGTTGTGGCATGTAGGACACTGCCTCAGCATGGCTTGATAAGCAGTGCTGGGTCCTTGCCCAGGATCTGAACCGGTGAAACCCTGGGCCGCTGAAGCAGAGTGCGCAAACTTAATCACTCGGCCACTTGGCCGGCCCCACTTGTCTGTTTTCTTAACTGCTTCCCCTACTAGAGACAGGGACCTTGGCACATAGTGAGTGTTCAATAAATATCAGTGAATGCACGCATGAATGAGTGACACAAGGAGGCAGGTCTAGGCTCAGTGTGAGACCTTTCAGATAATGAGAGCTCTTCTAAGACAATACACACCGAGCTCAGGTCACAGTAAGAATTCCTGCCTGGGATAGGGTTCATCTAGGAAAATGTATCTCTGTTCTTGGAAGGTAGCAGAACTCTTTATTTCAAATGACTTTACTAGGAACCCAAAATATAAGGGGAGGAGTTCTAGTCTCAGCGTGGGAGGAGGCAGAGGCCAGCCCCTGGGCCTCCCCTTGTCCTGAGCATGAGGCTTCTTCTGATCAGAGGCCTGGCTATATTCTCAAGCTGCTTTATCACAGCCACTGTGTCTATGATCTTAGGAGGCCGTGATACTGGGGACAGAAGCATCCTGGCTGACACCCTATCTCCACCCTCTCCCTCTGGTGCCCCCAGGGGCTCATCCTGTCAGCTGACAGAGATGCCCACAGAAGCCCTCTTTCTACAGGTTGCTCATCTGGCCCGCCAAGGCCATTGTATTCCTGAAACAGTGTAGATCTGGGGTCTCTGGGCAGAGCTAAGTGGGCATAGGAGCTGGCAGGGCTGCAGGCCTGGCTCTCGGGGCACAGAGCCAAGGGCTTAGTCTCAGAATTGGATTATTGGAGTGAATTTGGAGCTCCCAGCTCCCCTGGCCACAGGGACATGGGGATTACCCAGGCCTCTGGCTGGAGCCCACAGCCCTTCCCACCTTGCCTGCCTGGTCTGAGAACAAGGATCCTCCCTCGGCTGCAGCTTATGGGCAGGGGATTCTCCACCCGCCTCCCAGTTCCAGCCTTGAGCCCACAGCCTCCCCCAGCTGCCTGGAAGCACACCTGCCTCCCATGCGTCTGGGATTTACAGCAGTGTTATTCAAATTATGGTCCTTGGACTGGCAGGCATCAGCATCCCCTGGGAACTTGTTAGAGATGCGAACTCATGGACCCCACCCCAAACACTGAATCAGAATCTGTGAGGTGGGGCGCAGATCTGTGACTTATCAAATCTTCCAGATGATGCTTATGCAGGGTAAAGTTTAAGAACCACTGGCTTGGAGTACACAGGTCCATCCCACACACTCATCCGATTATGCCCCAAGGCTGTCAAAGATTCTGGACAATTTCTACCCACAAACTTCTTCTTTGGACTCCTTCCACCCTTCACTTACTGAAATTAATTACAGTGGTTATAATGCATCCTAATATCGCCACGTGGCACAATTCTACTGCAGTGAACAGCGGCAGCTGGAGGGGTGCAGTGTGATGCCCTGAGAGCACTTACTGTGGGCTTCGTGATCCTTTATTATCCCCACGTTACATATGAAGAAACTGAGGTTCAGAGAGGGGACATGACTAGCCCAAAGTCACACAGCAAGTAAACCCAGGGTCTAACTACTCTACTGTCCCACTTCCCACTCAGCAGAGAGGATAGCAGCTGTTTCTACATGTGTCTTCTTACATACACTGGGTTTCCTCCAGGGCAAAAAACCTTGTCATCACTTCCTCAGGAAGGCCCCCTGACCTCCCCAGAGTAGGCCAGGCCTCCTTAATGCGGGGCCCCTGCATTTTTCCTGAATAGTGGTACCACAGTTTGTAATCATATATCAATGTGATTATTTCCTGTCTGCTTCCTCCACCAGTGTGAAAGCTCCAGGAAGACAGGAAGTGGGGCAGACCATGCTAGATGCTTATCCAATATCCAGTCTCCTTTTCTTCTAGAACCTGCTTTTGTTTGGGGCAGCTGCATACCCAGCCAAATCACTGCATCCCACAGGTTCTGGCTTCTGGGATAAGAGTGGAAGTGACTGGGTACCTAACCATACTCAATAAATGCATGTTGAATGCAGGAGTGTTCGGTCCTGGGCGTGCAGTTGGTACTCAGGAAATGTGTCCTCTAACCAGGCCCAAGGAGCAAAGACCACCTCCCCGCCCCCCACCAAGGACCAAATAAAAGACGGCTGCCTTTCTCTTGGAAATATTTTTATTGGTTCTGAGATAGGGCTGAGGCGAGCTGGGACGGGCACAGAGCTAAGGAGGACGGCGAGAGGCTCTGACCCAGGGCAGACATGCTGTGTGGGGTCTTCTGGCGAGCTCCCTGGCCCACCCAGCCAGCAGCGGCTGGGTACATGGCACTTGGCGCCTGGCGTGACCTCTGCCGGCTTGGCACTGTGGCCTCCTCGTCGGCGGGCGCCCCCTTTCCAGTTGCAGGAGTTGTGAGTCTTTCACAGTGCGGAGGGGTGGGGGTCCGGGGTGGGCACCTCCCCCGGTGCAGGCAGGCCCCATCCGCCAGTACGTCCTGGGCTCTCGGCGGCTACGGCGGGCTGAGGCGTGCCCCGGCTCCTCTTCTCCCCACCTGTGGGAGCTTGGCAGTCCTGGAGGGGCCCTCGAGGCCTCAGCGGGACATCATCCGAACAAACTCTGGGAGGGCACAGGAGAGGTGGGGAGAAAGCAGCAGTCAGGGCTCAGTTCAGGGTGCCACCTCCCAATCTCCCTGTGTTCCCCTCCCCATTGCCACTGCCCTGACTCCCTGCTGGTCCCCCACATCCATTCGGCCCCCTCCAATCCATCACAGCAGCCAGCAAGCTTTCTAATCTGCATATCTGACCCCTCTTAAACCTCCCACGCTCCCCACTGGACAGCATCCAATATCCTGACATGACCTCAAGGCCCTCCCTGTTCTGGCCCCAGCTGACATCCTCAGCCTCATCTCTCACCTTCACCCGCAATCTCTATGCTCCAGCTAAACAGGTCTCCTTTTTTTTTTTTTTTAAAGATTTTATTTTTTCCCTTTTTCTCCCCAAAGCCCCCCGGTACATAGTTGTATATTCTTTGTTGTGGGTCCTTCTAGTTGTGGCATGTGGGACGCTGCCTCAGCGTGGTCTGATGAGCAGTGCCATGTCCGTGCCCAGGATTCGAACCAACGAAACACTGGGCCGCCTGCAGTGGAGCACGCGAACTTAACCACTCGGCCACGGGGCCAGCCCCTAAACAGATCTCCTTTTCAGCGCCTCAGGCAAAACTGGCCCTCTCTCTCTCTCCCTCTCTCTCTCACCTCTCAGTTTTCCTGTAGCTTGTCCCCTCTGCCTTCTTTTTTTTCAAACTAGATTTTATTTTTGAGAGCAGTTTTCGGTTCACAGCAAAATTGAGCAGAAAGTAGAGAGATTTCCCGTATACAGTCACGCACCGCCTAACGACATTTCAGTCAACAACAGACTGCACATGCGACAGTGGTCCCATAAGATTAGTACCACTCGGCCTAGTACCATATAACTATAATTAGTAGCATTAGCTATGTGTACTAGGCTATACCATCTAGGTTTGTGTAAGTACACTCTATGATGTTCGTACAATGACAGAATCACCTAGTGATATATTTCTCAGAACATATCCCCATTATTAAGCAACACACGACTATACCCCTTGCCCCCCAAACAGCCTTCCCCACCATCAACCTTCCCCACCAGAGTGGTACATTTGTTACAACTGATGAACCTACATTGACGTGTCATCACCCAGAGTGCATCATTCACATTAGGGGTCACTCTTGGTGTGGCACAGTCTATGGGTTTGGACAAATGTGTAATGATATATATTCACCATGATAGTATCATAAGAAGTAGTTTCACTGCCCTAAAAATCCTCTTGCTCCCCCAATTCATCCCTTCCTCCCACCACAACCCCAGGCAACCACTGATGTTTTAACTCTTGCCATAGTGTTCCCTTTTCCAGAACGTCACAGTGTTGGAATCATACAGTACGCAGCCTTTTCAGATTGGCTTCTTTCACTTCGTAATATGCATTAGAGGTTCCTCCATGTCTTTTCATGGCTTGATCGCTCATTTCTTTTTAGCACTGAGTAATATTCCACTGTCTGCATGTACCACAGTTTAGCTATCCATTCTCCTACTGAAGGATATCTTGGATGCTTCCAAGTTTAGGCAATTATAAATAAAGCTGCTATAAACATCTGTGTGCAGGTTTCTGTGCAGGCATAACTTTTCAGCTCCTTTGGGTAAATATCCCTTCCTTCTTTTTCACCTGGTAGCTCCTACTCATCTCTTAGGGCCCTACTTATTTATAGCCTCCTCCAGGAAGCCTTTCCTAATCCCCCCTCCAGCTTGGTACAGGGGCCCCCCCCTCTGGACCCCACAGCCTACTGTTCTTTTCTCAAAACAGAATGGACTGTACTGTTGGCTTCTGTTTTCCTTGCTGGTCTTGGGCCCCTCAAGGTGGGGATCAGGTCTCAGCACACAGTAAGGGTATAATCCATGCTGGCAGAATGAATGGGGGATGCTGGGGTTTCAAGGAATGGTTGTCATCTGTAGGGGGCACTATCTGGACACAGTATGACCTGAGATTTTCAGATCTGGTGGTACCAGAACCTTCTCTCCATCTATCCACACTCTTTTCTCCCTTGAAGGTCAACTTCTCCCCGGAAAAGGCCTCCTAACCTTTGTGTCCTGGACACACTCACACTCTGGCACATGTCTATTTGTCTTTCTGCTCAGAATGCAAATTCCTGAAGTCCAAAGTCTATATTTTACTGTATTTTTCCCCTATGTCCCATAGTGCCTTGAATGCGTTGTGCACAGTATTATGTAGTGGTTGAGATTCCAGGCCAGGGTTTATGACCCAGCTCTGCCTCCTAATAGTTAGGCAATCTCGAGCAAGTTATATTACTTCTCTGAGCCTCAGTTTCCTCATCTGTAACATGAGGTAATCACAGCACAATCCATAGAGTCATTGTGAGAATTAAATGAGATAATATATGTAAAGGTACTCAGTACAGTGACTGGTACATAATAAGTGTACAATAAATGATAAGTATTATGATTAATACTGATTGCTTTTTAAAAACTTTTACTGAGCATTAGCTATGTGCCAGCTACTGAGTTATGTAGGAAACGCAGAGATAAAGAAAATGGGGTTCCTGTCCTCAAAAAGTTCAGAGTCAAGTGGAGAGACAACCGTAACTAGCAGTTAGGGGACAGTGTGAAGAACGAGGGTGAACCTGAGATGCTGTGAAAGCCCAGAGAAGAAATTCAATCCAGAGAAGCAGGGGAAAGTGCTGGAGGAAATGGTCCCACTGCTGGGTCTTGAAGGATGAATACAATTTAGGCCAACTGAAGATAGAATAAAAGGCATCCTGACAAAAAGAACAGCATATTCCAGTGAGCGCCTAGCTGGTTCACGGACCGTAAGTATTTTGGTATGGCTTTAAAGTGGAGTGTACGTGAGGAATGGTAGGAGCTGCAGCTAGGGAGGTGAGCTGTGGTACGATCTTAGGGGACTGGAGTGTCAGGTTGAGGAGTGTGGTGTCCAGAAAATACCTACCATGGTTGGATGCATGAGTAGGTGGACAGATAGATGGATGGGGGCAGATGGACACCGGGATGGATGGATGGATGGATGGATGAGTAGATGGATATAGATGGGGAAGTGATTGTACAGACAGATGGACAGGTCAATGGAAGTATGGGTAGAAGGAGGGGCAGATGGATAGAGATATGTCAATGTATGAACAAAAGTACAGAAGTATGGATGGAGAGATGTACATGGGTAGATGGATGCATGAGGGAATGCATAAAAGAATGAATAGATGCATGGATGGATAAGTACATGGATAAATGGTTGTATAAGTGATTGTTTAGAGAGAGATGAATGGACAAATAAGCACCTGGAGGGATGAATAGATGGAGAGATAGAGGGGCCAGCCCGGTGGCGCAGCGGTTAAGTTCGCACGTTCTGCTTTGGCGGCCCGGGGTTTGCCAGTTCAGATGCCAGGTGCAGACATGGCACCGCTTGGCAAGCCATGCTGTGGTAGGCGTCCCACATATAAAATAGAGGAAGATGGGCACGTACGTTGGCTCAGGGCCAGTCTTCCTCAGCAAAAAGAGGAGGATTGGCAGCAGATGTTAGCTCAGGGCTACCCTTCCTCAAAAAAAAAAAAAAAGATGGAGAGATAGATATTGAAAGATGGACAGGTAGATGGATGGATGGGTGTAGGGATGGGAGGTGAATTAGAGGGATGCAGGAATGGAGCAGTAGGAGGATGGAAGGGTAGCGGGATGGGAAGTTGAAGTGAATTGATGGTTGCATGATGGATACCCAGTTGCAGGGCTCCATGGATGGCCACTACTGCTTTGGTTTCTCTCCCACTTTCAAGCCCCACCTACCTTCAAAGTCCACTCGTCCATCTCCATTGAGGTCCACATCTCGGATAATTTCCTCTATGTCTCGGTGTCCCACCTGATGACCCAGGAGTTTCCTCATGGCTTCTCGCAACTCACTGGTGCTTATCTCCCCATCACCATTGGTGTCAAACTAGAGAGGGCAGGAAGGAGGGCAAGGTGGCTACAACATGGAGACTGTCGCAAGCAGATCCCAAGGCTCAGCCCCTTCTCCAGAGTCACTGTCCTCCCTTCCTCAGAGACCCTTCTCTGGCCAAGCTCCTTCCCCTGGTCTGGGATCCAGATTCAGGTTTCTTTTCAAGTAGCCATCTTGGGGTTGGGATTACAACCTCTCCACTACCAGTCTGTCCACTGCCCATCGCTCACCTCTCGGAAAGCATCTCGCAGTTCCTTTACTCCAATCATATCTGCTGTCTCCGCCAGGAGTTTAGGTCCCATTAGCTCCACAAAGTCATCAAAATCCACATGGCCACCCACTGGGGACAGAAGAAAGGGCTAAGTCATCCATCTAACCATTCCCCATCTCCAGTTAGGCACCTGAGGGCACCACCAACTCCTCCCTGACCTGCCCAGTGCCAGATCCAAGGCTTAACCAAAGGCCAAATAATGAAAGAGGTGACCATGGACGGGCGGCTTGTCAAAGAATGGCTCAGGAGTGTTCAGGGGTTGACTAAAGGAACAAGTCAGGAAGAGGATAGAGGTAGATATGGATAAGAGAAAGAAACACCAGGTCACAGAGACAGGAAAAGAATTTCAGAGGCAGAGAGATGGAGACACACACGCAGAAAGGCAGAGAGAGAAGCAGCAGTTACGGGCGCCCGGCCCACATGCCCCCAGCCTTACCCTTGTCGTGCAGATGGAAACTCAACTTCCAACTGGGTCTCTCAGTAGGTAGGAGCGCTAGAGGACCGACCCACCTACACCTGCTCACACAGCTTCCAGCCAGGGACTGACAGGAGTTTGGGGGAGAAAGACCCAGCCGGTGAGGTGACGGCTGGGGGATAACTCTGAGGCGGGCATGTGACATGCACCCCCTGAGCTCCCCAGCAGAAATAGACTCCGGTCACTCCCAGTGGAAGCTGATTGACAGAACACCCTCTGTTGGCTCCTCGTCTTCGCTGTCTCCCTTCCCTATGCCTGACCAACACTTTCCTTCACCTGCCAAGGAAACTACTTGCTCTCAAATCCTTGTCTCAGGGTCTGCTTCTGGGAGAACCCAAATTAAGACAGAGAAAAACATAATAATAAGAGCATCCATCCCTCTGTTCAACTCTTGCTATGTGCCAGGTAGCGGGCTGTGACAGATATTCCCTAATTGACTTCCTGTGCTCCACTCCCCCTAGTACACCCCACATTTTACAGGTGAGGAAAGTGAGGCTCAGAGAGGGTAAGTGCTGTGCCCCAGGTCACAGAGCTGGAAGGAGGTGGGCCCAGAACTTGAACCCAGGCCTGTCTGACTGCACAGGACTGCAAGGCAGAGGACGGGAAGGGAAGGAGGTGGCCGTGAAGGGACTCACAGTTCATGTTGATCTGCTGGGAGAGCTCAATCAGCTCCATTTCGGTGGGCATGTAGCCCATGGTGCGCATGCAGTTGCCCAGGTCCCGGCAGTTGATGTAGCCATCCTTATCCTTGTCAAACTCTCTGAAGGCCTCTCGGAGTTCTGGGGAAGAGGACAAAGGTGGACGTGGCTGGGAGTGGGACCCGCAAAGGCAGCCCGAGGGCCCACCAGCTTGGAGAGCCAGACCCTGGAGCTGCCCAGGACTGCGCATTCCTCTGACACCTGGCTCCACAGAGGATGCTCCACGGCTGTCCCCAGGAGGCCGAGGTGTGCCTCTCTTCCCACCAACCTCCATTCCCTCACCTTGCTGGATGGCTGAGAAACCCTTACCCCTGAGGGGCCGATCTTACCTTCAATCTCCTCTGGCCTCAGTGATCTGTCCTGAAACAAAAGAATGGCTCCTATTAGCAGCTGCGATGGGCCCCGAAGTCACAAAATGCCCAACCTGTGGGCCATCCAAGCGGCAGCAGGCACTGGGTGGGAGGTGACAGGGCTGCAGCAGAGGTGTGCCTGGACCACGTCCTTGAGGGGAAGGCGCAGCCTCATATCTCCCATAGGCATGGGAGATGCCCAGGGACCCAAGAGCCCCATCCAGCCTGGGCACAGAACTTCCGCTCCCCTAGCCCCTTATTCCAGACACGAGAACATGTTGGGGAAGAAAGCTGGTCCAGAGGCAAAAACCTGCAAATAAAACAGGGTCAGCAGGAGGTCACAACAGAGTGGAGGCCTGTAAGGCAATGGGAGGAGAGGGGCTGAGGGGAGAGAAGGCGGGGACTAGACAGGCAGCCGAGAGGAAGGGAGAGGAGGAGGAGCCCAGGCTGTGGAGGCAGGATGAGGGCTGCGTCCTGCTTCCTGGGCACTGCCCCACCTTCTCCAGTTTGACCCCCATCCTACACCTTGCCCTGTCACTGGACAGCATAGGACCCTGGGGGCCGCCAGTGCCTCTGGCTGCTGTCAGCGTCCAAAGCACATGTCTCCAGCCTCCAGCAGTGCCCAGGTCTCCTTGGGGAGTCAAGGAGACCCTGGGCTCTAGGCATCAGAACAGATGGCAGAGAAGTCTCCAAAGGGCAGGCTGGAGGAGGCAGGGGGCAGGCTCTGGCTGGTGAGGTGCCAGTCGGCCCAGGCGTGCCCAGGAGAAATGGCTGCCCAGCTGGACCTGCTTAGTAGGCTCCCAAAACTGGTCCACAGGGCTCATCCTCCCACATGTCACAGCTGTCTGCCTTCGGGCAGGGAGAACATGGGGGAGGGTGTGCCCACCCTGAGGAAGCACACACCAGGTGTGGGCATACCTATTATGGACACAGACACGCAGGCGTGCCACAGTGAGCATGAGGCATCTCAGCTGTGCACACAGGCTGTTCTAGCCCACAGGGCCAGGGCAGAAGAGACAGCTGCTGGCCCCCCACTCTAAACTGGCCCCAGGGCAAGGGACTTCAACTCTGGAAAAATCTGAGAATCTTCTAGAAAGGGGCTGCTGAGCAACATCTTGTGAGACAAACATGTGCACAGGACCCGGCACTCAGACGTGGTTCTCTGAGGCAGGATAGTGTTGAGAGCATATATGAGCTTGGAATGAGCCGGCTGCAAGCTGCTGGGTCCTGCAGGTGGCATTTCTAGCCGAGGGTAGGATTCACAGAAGGTGTGTATGTCTCTGTGAGATGGTTGTACGGACTTCCACTTAAAAACGGTGCACCATGCAAGGGCTGTCACTCCCATTCCTAGTCAGACTTCGGTCTTGGTGACCAAAAAGATGTTCTTTGCAATGCCCTGTACCCCAGTAAGCAAAGCGACTAAGTGAGTATATGCATGTGCACACATGCAGAGTACCCTCGCTGGGACGTGTTTTGTGGACATAACAAGTCCTTTCCCACCCTTCAGGCCTCAGGCAGCCTCCCACTTCTCTAGGACCCAGCTCTGCAGGACTGCAGAGGAATGGGGTCCTGCTGACCCCCACTGCAGCCCCCTCCATTCTTCTCATATAGCGGGAGGCAGGAAGCAGGAAAGCCAAGGACCCCTTTGCAGTGAACCTGTGACCAGACTTGGTCTGGCTGAGTCCTGGTGGCTGGCCCTTAAGGCACATACTCCCCAGTGCAGAGCGGCAGGGGTAAGTGTAGTAGAGCCAGGATGCCCACCGATGTGGCAGGGAAACCATGAGCGCCTGCGCCGGGGATCAGGTGGGAATGGAGCACACACGGAACGATGTGGTCAGGGAGAAGAACTTGGCCTCTAGAGTCAACAGATTCGAGTGCAAAGCTTACATCTGCTACTTCCTAGCTGTGGGAGCTTGGGCAGGTTACTCCGTGAGCCACAGTCTCCTCATCTGTAAAATGGGTTAATACCAGTACCCACCTTACAGGGCCTTTGTGAGCATTCCGTGAGACAAGATAGCAGAGTGTTTACCACGTGGCATTCAATAAATGGAACCTGCAAATGTTTGTATGTGTCACATCGTCATTAATACCCTCCGCTCTGTGACTGTTCAGATACCTGTGGGAGGCTGTCCAACACAGTAGCCGCATGCGGCTATTGAAATCTGAATTGGAATTAAGTTAATAGTTTACTTCCTCAGTTGCACTAGCCACATTTCAAGTGCTCAATAGCCACATGTGGCTAGTGGCTACAGTATTGGTCAGCGTAGACTGTAGAATGTTTCCATCATCATAGAAAGTTCTACTGGACAGTGCTGTGTATTCAGTACTGTTGTTCAGAACACAGGAGGGCCCTTGAGTTAGACACCCCGAATTTGAATCCTACCTCTATCACCCACCAGCTGTTACCCTAAGCATGTCACCTCTCCAACTCAGTTTCCTCATCTGTAAAATGGGAATGATAATAGTACCCACCTCTTGGAGTTGTTCGGAGGCTTAAATGACGCAATGCACCAGAGCACTTAGCACAGTGCCTGGCACATAGTAAGTGCTCAAAAAAACCCAAAACAATGTTAGCTGCTATTATTATTTCTTGCTGGTGGATGTGGACTCACCGTGCTTTGCAGCCGAGAGTGGGAAACTTTGTGGGTCAGATTCACAAGTTGAGGGTTTGAGGTGTGTCTGTTGGGGACAAGGGCTGCTGTGTACGGAGCCTCTCTTCCCAGCACCTCCTCACGCCCTGTGAAGCCAAGTCGAGTGTGGCTCCACTGGGGTCAACTTACGTACAGGCTGCCTGTTCTCAGCGAAGCCCTTGCGGAGGAAAATGCAGGCAGGGCCCAGCAGGTTGTGCATCACAGCGCAGTTTTGCGCCAGCATCAGGAGCGGTCCGGGGAGCTCGCCGCTGGCCGCCAGCCCCTCCTCGCTCATCTGCACCACCGTGTAGCTCGTCTTCTCCTCCTGGCGCATCTTCAGCCAGCACCAAGCAAATACAAAAGAGGCATGGCGTCACCTCTCTGCCCAACAGGGTCCTCCTGGCCCCAGCCTGGCTCCTGGTCCTAGAAGGGGCTCTCCTCAAGAGAAGCCCCTTGAGAGTCAAGCAGCAGGGTTCGGAGAGCTCCCAGGATGCACAGATGCAGGCATCAGATTGGTCCAACAGATGGAGGCTCTGATCCTTGACTGAAAGATGCTCCAGGGAGAGCTGGGTGATACCCACTGTGTAGCACATGTGCGTGCCCACACACACACACGAGATATACATGTGCCCAGAATCACACACTTGTGTGCATGCAGAAGCTCAGAGAGAGAAGCAGGCAAAGGGAGGCTGTTCATTCAGAGACTAACAGAATAATGTCCTTTCCCAACTTCTCAGCGCAATGCCTGGGGCCAAGCTCCCAAACTGACTTCTGACCCTGCCCCCAGGAAGGCAGTGGGGGCAATCAGAGCTGGCAGCACAGAGAGCAGGCTCAGCTAGTCTGCTAGATTGGAGGTTGCAAACACAGGTGCCGTAGCTAACATAAACGAAGCAGGCAGGTGTAAGACGTGGGGCTCGGGGCAAAATGGATGCTGTGTGTCCCCTCTAAAGGGGCAACACGACTTAACTCCAGCCCAGTGTCGTCAGACCTTTTGATTTAAAGCACCAAGTGGTCCAAACAATGCACATCTGTGGGTTGGATTCCACCCAGTTTGTGGCCTCAAGACTAGACCCTCTCTGCCACCAGCAATTCTCCTTCGCCTCCTTCCCGCCTTCCCTGGCTCCCTGCCTGGCCCAGCCTGCTGACCTCTAAGGCTGAGGCAGGGGCCCTCTCTGCTTACCGAATATAGCTATGCTCCCAGGCCCTGGCCAACCCATCCTCCTCCCTGACGGTTCCCATGCAGCTATAAAAAGTCAGCACTGCCCACAGACCGTCCCCTTAGGACAGAGCAGCATCCAGACACAACATTCTATTCCACCCCAGCCTCGTCAGGATGCCCAGCCCCTCCCCCTGACTCTCCCAGAATCCAGGTCAGGCACTTTGCCTTCAGCCCAGGACTCGGATGCCTCCCCTCAGTGTGGCGATTGGAGCTAAACCTTCCCAAGGAGGGAGACGGCAGCTGAGAGTCTGAGGGCTGTCTTTGTCCAAGAACCCCAGAGCTGCATACCCTACCCTTCCATCCTGCTGCTCCTCTTCCTGTCAGTCTCCTCCAGCTCCAAGAAGCTCACGCCCAGGAGATGCTAAGACCCAGGGGGCAGCCTGACCTCCAAGGCTGAGAACCAAACAACCTGCCCCGTCTCACCTTGTCCTCTCACGCTTCTTCCCCCAAAACCCCCACTGTGGAGCCACACACTAGCCTCCCTTCCACTTCCTAAGTCTCTTCCAGGTCTAGAGAGGGATGAGCAATATTCTGGTTCCTCAAAGGGGAAGCAGCAACTCAGACCTGAGGTGAAGGACCAAGTCCAGTGGGTGCAATAAGGTCATCTCGGGATCTCAGAACTTGAGGGTGTCAGATAGACCAAGGGCTCTGTCTGGTTTGATGACCAAAAGACATTCAGAGCCTCAGCCACACTCGCACAGGCTTCTGGGACCTGGCTAAAGCAGGGGCAGAAGCAGAGAGACCTTCCAACTGGGAGAGTGGCTCAGAGGAAGCACGGCAGTAGACGGTGGCTTACGCCCAGGAAGCACTCTCAGAAGCTGTTTATAGAGAATCGGCCTTTTAGTTTCTGGCTGACTCCTGCACATTTGGCTCACAGTGAGCGCAACCCAGGAGGGAGGAGGCCGCAGGCTGCACAGAACTCTGAGAGGCACATCAGTATCCTGGCTTTGGAATCCAAGAGTCTTGGGGACAAATACTGGCTCTGCCACTTGCTTGCTATATGACCTTGGGCAGGTCACTTCACTTCTCTGTGCTCTAGTTTCCTTCTCTGTACAGGGGGCTATTCATGTCTACTCACAGGATTCTGTGAGAAATAAATGAGCTATTGCATAGTGCCTACAGCATGGTAAGAGCTGAATAAATGAGTTGCCATGGTGATGACAATGATGATGACAACGAGGATGACGATGATGGTGATGATGATGCAACTTAAGAGACGCTGGGTGCCAGAAGGCATTTACTTTTGCTGGCAGAGGAAGTAGGAGAATATTTGCTAATCAGGAAAGAAATTAGAACGATGGAGAATTTGCTCCCACGAAGAATGAACCAGTGGTGGCTGGGGAATTTCCACTGCCTCTCTTGATCATAATACTGCCTGGCACCAAGTTGCCCCGGGAGGCTGCTGTTCCTCCTCGGCCAGTGATGGCACCTGACAGCCTGGTCCTGCCCTGCTCAGAGCCTGCAGTGGCCGCCTCTCACCATTACCAGTTTCCCAACTACCACTTAGGAAGCCAAATGGGCAGCAGCCCACAGGCTGACAATGTCTCCTGGCACCGAGGGGACATCTCCTGAGTGTGGCATGGCAACAGGAGGGGCCAGCATGCCTCATGACCTAACAGCTTTCTAACAACACAAGCTGGCCAAGAGTAGGCAGGTCAAAGCTCCCCCTCGCTGAAGATATTCAAGGAGACATTGAATGAGTGAGCAGTTGGTGAGGTGGGAGAGGGGACTGCTGCTGTGAGTGGGAATTTGAACTAGCTGGCCTAGAAGGTCAGATTCAGGAATCTATGAATAATGTTAATGACAGCAGGAAAAGGAGAAGGGCAGCCTCTCACAGAGGCAAAAATAAAATACCAGCTCTGGATTCATACAGACCAGGGTTTAAATCTCGGCTCTGCTTCCAGCCAGCTGTGTGACCTTAGGAAAGCTCTTATCTCTGAGTCCAGCTCCTTTCTCTATAAAAGAGCCAAGAGAACTACTTGGTGGAAAGGAACAAATGAGATAACAGATGTTGGATACATTGCAGGTATTCAGGAAAAAGCAATTATTATAGCTATAAAAACCAAAATGGACTGCAGTAAGTTTTATGGTCTTTTACCTTATCCCATGGACTCAAAATCTCTCCTATTTTCCTTTTTTCCTCCATCCCCCTTCTCAGAAAACCCAGAGTGGAAAAACGATGGTTATGATGACAATAATACTAGCTAACATTTATTGAGAACTATATTCCAGGCACTGTGCATAGCGCTTTACTTAGTGCTCTCAATCACCTTAGGAGGTGGATATCAGTATTTCCACTTGATGGACAAGGGAACTGAGGCACAGAGAGGTCAAGTAACTTATCCAAGGTCACATGGCTGGAAAGAGGAGACCCAAGAGGTCAGACTGTTAAGCAGTCTACTGTGTAGAAGATGCATAAGGTGGGACAAAAAGACAGTCTCGTTCTTAAGTTCACCTTTCAAGCTCTGGACAGAACCCAGGGGAAGGGCTTTCGCCCTGTGGCCCTGTACACTAATTCAGATTAGTTTCTGCTTCTCTGCAACAGCGTGGAGGCCACTGCCGATGCAAAAACCTCCCCTAAGGAGATGACAGATGATGGGGTGGGGCGCACAGAAGAAACAGTCAACCCTCGGAAAGATCCCAGGAACAGCGAAGATTAAAAGGAATTTGATGTGAGCAGCTTAGCTAAATGAGGAAGACGACAAGCAGAAAATCCTGAAATGTCCTAAATTGGGAGGCTGTCAAACTGATCGAGGAGGTAGGATGGGGTTAGGGACACAGGGGCCATTAGCTAACCTGAGACCTTGGGTAAGTCACTTAACCTAAGTGGCAATCAAATTCCTCGTCTGGAAAACGCAAGCATTGGAAGAAAACATCCCTATTATTCCTTCTTTCTTTAAAATCGATGAGTTTCTTCTATGGCCTGAGTACAGAGGGGTAGAAGTACGGGCAGAGCCCACTTGAAGCAAAACCCTAAAGAGGCAAGCCCAGACTTGCATGAAAAATGCTTTGGAGGTGATTATTTGCTTTCCAAAAGGAATTTCTGCAAAAGAATCTTATCCTGGTGTATAAGCCATAAATCCCCTGTAGGAAGCGACATGCAGACACCTTTGCTCAACATCCTATTTCTCAGTGGAAACAATGCTGGGCCCTGAACCAGTCCAGTCCTAGCTGAGATTCTCTGACCTGACTCAAGAATTATCGCGGGTAGAAGGGCGTACGCTGCTTGGTTCCTTTCAGTAGCAATGGGATCTACTTCAAAACGCACAACTCTGAAGGCTTAGAGACCAGCAGAGAGGGTCAGAGACCCTCAAAGGAGATGAAGGAACCCCCAGCCCCACTGCTGGGAGGGAGCCAGCAGCGGCAGGGTCAAAACCCAGCTCAATCCCCTTATGATCCTGCCAGGTCCAAGGGGGTCTGTCTACTCATATCCTGAACAGCCATGCTTTTCATTTTACAGCCCAGGAGCTACGTGGTTTCTTTCCTAAATATTGTGCAAATTCCAAAACACAGTCCCCCATGCAGCTCTAAGTCCCAACTTCAGCTCAGAGTCTGGGACATAGAAAACCGTGATAGGAGGGAATCCAGAGGTAAGAACAGGGAAGCAGCTTTAGACAGAACCCCTGGGAAAGGTAGCAGGCTTCAGATGCCCCTCCCATCCATGCCTAGCCTCTGGGACAGATGGCAAGATGCCCCAACCCCTGCCCCAGGTCTTGGGAACTCCAGAAACATACCTTCCTTGAGAGATTTCTCAGTGGAGACTTGACACAGTTGCCCATCCTAAGCTGAGGCAGCCCCTCTCAGGATCCCCGGGTCCATGAAGGAGGCTCCTGGGGGCTAAGAGACCTTAGTCCCGGTCACCGCCAACCCCAGCCTCCCTCTGCCTGTGCCGCTCTTCCTCCAGGACCGATCTGAGCCCTCTCTCTTGTGCGCGTGCTCTCTTACTCGTCTGCCTGCTCCTGCTCTCTGATTTTTTTTTTTTTAAGTGGATTGTGTGTGTGTTTGTGTGTGTGGGTTTAACTTTCTGGGCACTTTCTTAAGGAGATGAAGGCAGGAGGGGAGAGTGCAGGGCACAGAGAAAAATCACCCAGAGAGCTGATGGCAGAGGGCAGCCGAGCTGGAGAGGGCTGCTGGATCATCTATATCAGATTAGAGCTGAGTCCTCTCTCTGGCTCATTCCCCTTCCCTCAGCCCCCCCCTCCCACTGCCAAATCTGCAGGGAGATTGTCCGGGGGTGGGTGGGCCAGAATGGCAGCTGCAGCTGGGAATTAGGCCAGCAGACCCAGAAGGGGAAGCAGGCTAGTTTGGGCCCCCAAGCCAGGGTGCCTCCAAGCTCCCAGCCTGGTATGTGCATTCACACACACACACACACACACACACACACAAGCACACGCACATCCTAATTGCCCCCTGGCAATCGCAGCTGGATTGAGAGCAGGCGGCTCTAGTTGCGGGCCTGGGAGATCTTGTGACATCTCCATCACGCTCCATTTTTCACACTTGCCTCGTCATTGAAATGGGATGAGCCTCCAGGGCGGAAGCACACTGAGCCAACAGCAGTGAACAGCTCCTTCTGCTCCGTTGGCTGTGTGAGGTCTCTCCGACCCAAGCGAAGCCAAGAGACCGCCCTGAGGGGGACAGGATGGAGGCAGTGCTGGCACAGAGGGCCTGAGCGAGAGTATGAACCTTCTCTCCTAATCCTCTGCCTAATCCTGAGCGAGGATCTTTCACCGGCTTCCTTGGGGTGCAGAGCAGAGAGGCCACTCTTTGCAAAGCGATCTTCAAGCTCCCACAACTGGAACTTTTTAGGTGACTGGCTCTTCCTCATCCTCCTAGGTTCCAGCTTCGATGTGAATTCATCTCAAGCCTCAGTTGTCACATTCAAGACCTACAGCCGGAGCCAGATGACCCAAGAGAGGAAATGTCCCTGCTTCCCTGCACACAGCTTCTCCCAGCAGGGGGCAGCAGAGATAGCCTGGGAAGCTGAACTCCCAGGCCCTGATGCAAGAACCCTTGTATGCGTCGCTGAAAGAACTTTGAGTCCAGAGAGGCTCCTCTCCTAGGGACTTTTCGCCCAGTTTTGGTGGCTGGTCAGAACTCTCGTTAGGGAAGATGGGTGAGGACGCTGCCCAGAAGGAGCCACAGGCTCACTCCCAGGGAGCTGAGGAAGGAGGTCCCTGGATAGCTCTTGACGACTGTGCTGCTGCTGACGACAACGGAATGGTTTAATCAGGAAACTTATTCAGCAGCCTTGTTTGGACCAAACCTCCGGAGCGGGATATGGAGAAGGAGGGGCAGCCCCTGGGGACAGAGGGAGGAGCCTGGAGGGGGGGTTGTTGACGCCTAAAGGGCAGGAAAGGGGTGAAGTTGCCGGGGGAGCTGGAATGGGAAGAGTGAGCAGCCAACATAAATGCCTTCTTCAAAGACGTGTTCCTTGGAAGCAGAGCATGAAGGCAGCATCTCCATAGTCGGGGTCAGGGTCACGCGGAAGAATGATGGACTCAGATGAATGGGAAGGATCTGGAGGCCTGGGGTTGAGTCCTGGCTCTGCTGGCTTCTGACATCTCACATTCCAGAGCTTCAGTTTCCTCGGAAAACGAGGCTTCGCCTATCTTGCTCATAAAGCGTATGTGCGAAAGTGCATGGCACCTAAGAGGTACTCCGTAAGTAATTATTAAAATGGAAAGAAGAAATATCATTGTCCAATTTGTCCATATGTGCCAGGCACTGTGCTTGGCTCTGGAAATGTTGCAACGAGCAAGATAAACACGGCCCCTGCTTTCAGGGAGCTTCCATTCCAGCAGGTGGCAGGAGATATTAAAGAGCTAGGAACGCAATTACATTTCAGGTAAATGCTCTGAGGGAGAAACATAAAAACTCTGAGAATATGATACAGAGGGATCTGATCTAGTCTGGGGGGATCAGGAAAGACTTGTAGACCAAATCTAGAAAACCAACCATCTGTAGACTCTTTTGAAAAGCTAGGGCTCACCAGGGACCCCAGAGTGGGGAAGGGTTAGGCTCCAGGTACAAACCCAATTCATATTAACTGAATGCGTGGATGCACAAAAGGGCAGCACAGTGTAAAGCAGAGGTTCTCAATGCTGGCTGCAGATCAGAATCACTGGGGAGCTTCCCCACAGATTCTGATTTAATAGATGTAGGTGAGCTCTGGCCATCGGTGTTGGTTAGTACTCCAGGTAATGCTAACCGGAAGCCAGTGTTGAGAACCACTCATGTAGAGGTGAAGATCTTGGAATACAGAGTCAGACAGACTTGGGTTCAAATCTTTCCCTGCTGCCTAGCAACTGTGTGACCTTGAGACACGTCAATCCTTCTGGGCCTCAGTTTATTTATAAAATGGGTACTCTAATAACACTTCCCTCTAGGGCTTTTGTGAGAAGTTAATGAAATAGCACATGCAAAGGGCTTGGTGCAGTGCCAGGCACCTAGAAGGTGCCCCCCGCCCCTGCCCAGCACTGGGCTTAAAGGGCTGCGCGTGGCCTCCATGCACTCAGCGCGATACCTATTGTCAGACCTGGTGACTTCTGCCCCCTGCAGGCCAGCTCCGAGCACAGCACCCACTTGTTGACATTGGGATAAGCCTCTGTCCTTGGAAACAAGACATAGGAGACAGCAAAACCAGGCTCCTACGGAAAAGTCACACACTTTGAAGAAATCCCATCCCTCTTTAGTGGGGAGGGTGCTGACGCTAACTTGAGGCTTAAGGGCAGCAAGGGATTCAGGGATTCAAACACAGAGCTTGCTTAAGCTATTTGGGGTTGGGCAGGTGTGGTGGTGGTGGTGGTCCTGAGCGATGAGTAACTGGTGATCTGGAGGGGGCAGGGGGCTTGACTCTTAGCAGAAAATTTTTAAAAGGGCTGAATGGTGGGGGCTTCTCTAAGGAGAAAAGCACACCACACAGCCCCACCTCCCCATCTCTATTCACTGTGGCAGCAGCCTGTGGGCCTCCGGAAGCAGCACTTTGAGTTCTGGAATGGAATAATAGGATCAGAGGGATAAGAAGGGTAAACCCGTTGCTGATTATTCCTGATTAGGAGAGAGGCTGGCCTTCGGCCCTGATCAGCCATTGCCAGCATCTGAACTTGGATGGCAGCCCAGTGCTAAGACACTCGGGAAAGCTGGATCGTAACCTGAGAGGTGCTTTGTGGATGCTTCTGACAAATAGGAAACACACTTCTGTGACTTCCCACCCAGCAGCATGGTGCGGCACAGGCAGGTTGTTTGGAGAGACGCAGACCAAGTCACAGTCCTGTCATTTATTTACTGGGTGACCTTTGGACAAGCCGCTTCCCCTCTCTTGAGCTTGTTTCGTCATCTCAAAAATGGGGGGAGATAATGCCAACCTTCACAGGTTGCTATGAAGATAAGACGATGAGAAGAGACTTCATCAGTTGTTTAGTGGGCTCTAGACTGAGGTCTCAAGTACCCTTTTGGCTTCCCCAAAACAGCTAGAGGCAAATGGAGACGTCCTGGAGGACTCTCACCAACTGACAACTGACGCCAAGCCCCTCCTACCACCTATGACTAATGTTAACCACAAACAGACCTGCTCTTTCCCCTTCCCCAGGCCCCAGAGGAAAGGCAATAGGGGCTCCCAGCCCTCTCAGGGAGCAGTAGGCAGAGACTCGGCCGGGCAGGAGTGAGTAACATACACAGCTCTCATGCAACTGAATCCATTAGGACCCAAACCATCACGGTCTCTCTCTCCCATCTCAACTATAGGAACTAAGAAACCTCTGAAGTCCAGAGGCTGGAGATACCAGTCATTCATTCATTCACTCACTCATTAAATAGAGATCTTCCTCGACTTATGATGGTGGAAAATATCATACACTGAAAATGCTTTGGGGTCCTGCCCCGTGGCCAAGTGGTTAAGTTCGTGCACTCTGCTTTGGCGGCCCAGGGTTTTACCAGTTCAGATCCTGGGTGCAGACGTGGCACTGCTCATCAGGCCATGCTGAGGCAGCATCCCACATAGCACAACCAGAAGGACCTACAACTAGAATATACAACTATGTACTCGGGGGCTTTGGGAAGGAGAAGAAGGGAGAAAAAAAAAGATGGGCAACAGATGTTGGCTCAGGTGCCAATCTTTAAAAAAAAAGAAAGAAAATGCTTCTAATACAGTTAACCTACCAAACATCACAGTTTAGCCTAGCCCACCTTAAATGTGCTCAGAACGCTTACATTGGCTACAGTTGGGCAAAATTATCTAACACAAAACCTATTTTATAATAAAGTGTTGAATGTCTCATGTAATTTATTGAATACTGTATGAAAGTGAAAAACAGCATGGTTCTCTGGTACAGAATGGTTGTCAGTGTACTGGTTGTTTACGCTGGTGATGGTGGGGCTGAATGGGAGGTGCACTTGCTGCCACTGCCCAGCATCAAAAGAGAGTATTGTACTGCATATCACTGGGAAAAGATCAAAATTCAAAGTATGTTTTCTACTGAATGTGTGTTGTTTTTGCACCATTATAAAATCGTAAGTCAAAAACCATCGATGTCTGTACTGCCATCCTGTTATGTGCAAAGCAGTATGGGAATGGGGCTAGCCTACCGAAATCAGAAGAGATGTCTCTATAGCTAGAAAAAGGGAAAGGATGCGTCAGAGCTGTGGGTTTTATTCGCATTTGCCTCTTCTCCAAGGGGTACTTCTTCCTGAACTTAGGGTAAGGAGCAGAAAGACTTTTCTTAAAATAGTTTTCCAAGACCCAATGCCAAGAGTTGCCTTAAGTCATGCCTATTTTGAGTTAACTTCTGAGCAGCTGGGTGGCATGTCTTTAGCTAGCCACAAAGAGGCTATTAGGGAAGGTCCTTTGTCATTCAGCTCCTTCCTTTAACGGCCTTCCTCACCTGGCTCAGAGTCAGCTTTCAAAGTACCTCCGGCAGGCCCTCATTCAGACGATTACTCTATTAATAATAACAACATTAATGAAGGCTGCCCTTTTTCCACCACCCACAACGAGTCAGGCCATTTGACATCCTTAACCTTATGTTACCCTCATAACAGCTCTGGAAGGTAGTTTTTGTCAATCTCATTTCTGGATGAAGAAACCCAGATAGAGAGAGAAAATAACAGCCCCAAGGTCACAGCAAGAGGAAGTGACAGAGCTGGGACTGGAACCTGCCGCTCTAGCATCTCCCACGCCACCATTCCATGCCTTAGCCTCAAAACCACACCATCTCCCTGCAGGCAGTGATGATGCTCGGTGAGGTCACCAGAAGAATCCTAATTCCTGTTCCCCTAATGTAGGAATCTATCTTGACACCTTCAGTGTCACTTTGCACCCTGGCTCCTCCTGACTCCATTACAAATGGAACGAAGAAGATCTGATGCAGCCCTTGGTAATCAACAATAATAACAACAATAATAATAACTAACATTGATAGAGCCCTTGCTCTGGGCCACACACTGGGCCAAGCTCAGTGCCCGTCTCCATATCTCATTTGATCTCCCAAAAACCCATCGAGGCACTGTGATTATCCGTTTTGCAAATAAAGAAACAGAGGCTTAATGAGGTTAAGTGATTCACTTCAGGTGAAAAAAAAAAAAAAAGGAACTTGGAAGACACGAAAAATATACTTCCTCAGGGCTATACTTCGCCCTAAGCAGACCTTATCTGGAAGTTTCTGCCTTCAGAACCCTATTTCCCTTCTCTCGGTCCGACCCTGTCTCTATGGACAGAAATCTCAACACAAAGAGAAGGGAAGGAAAGATTCATTCCCTTCTGTTGCAAGAGACTGGAGACATTGGCACAGAAGACCCAGGCTGGGTTTTGTTGTTGTTGTTACTGTTGTTCAGGCAGATGCCTTACAGCTGTCAGCAGGAAGCCCAAACTGAATGCGCTGAGCTTTAAAAAAAAAAAAAAAAAAAATTCTGTAGCTCCAGAGGCAAGAGCTTCCAGAAGGAGGTAGTAAATATTTGATGGGAGCTTCCAGCTCTTCCTGACTCAGGTGACCCTGGTGACATTTCAGAACACTGAGCTGGAGAATATTCCTCATTTAATGACTGAGAAACGGAAGGATGAAGACAAGAAGGTAGCTGGAATGCTCTGAGCTCACAAAGGGCCCATGCAGAAAAATTCTGCGAGACTGGAAAGAAAGGGCTCTTTTTCCAGGAACGAAGTCAGATCACCAGCAAACTGAATAACCAGAAAGTGTGTGATTCTGGGCAAATGACCTACCCTTCCAAACTGCTAGAGTACAAACTCCAAAATAGCCAGAACCCCGGCTATCTTCTTCACTGTTGTCTCCCTAGTGCCCAGCAAGTGCCTGGGCAAAGTAGGTGCTCAAAAAATATTTGATAAATGGTGAATAAATGTCACTGATTCAACAACACCGTATTCCTTTTGCAACCCAGACCCACTGCACAGACCACTCCTCCCCTCACACCCTACACTTCCTCACTAATATATAAGCCACCACAGGGAACTACTCCCTCAACACATCATGGCACTAACTCTAACAGCCCTGGTCCAAATCTCTACTCTGCAGAACTGTTTCCAGCTAACTCAGCTAACGAGGGCTCCCTGCAGGAACAAAGCCACACACCGCTGCCCTATCACACCACCACAGCAGCCCCGTGCAACCCGAATCCATGTGCAGCTGCCTTCATGTCAGACCTCCACCAGCATCAGCCGCTGCGGAGTACTATTTTGAAAAGAAATGTGCAGATCTGAAGCAAAATACACACAGCCTCCTTGGAATTCTGATCCAGCATGGCAAGCCAGGAGCTTGAAACAGCTTCTTTACGCTACATCCCAGCACAGAAACGCTCAGGCCACCCTCTTCCCCTACACACCACGCAAACACTCTGATCAGACCTATGCATTACACCCCTCCTCGGCTGCCCGAGAACTGTCTCAACGCTGTGCCATTGAGCTTGACTTCATTACGGACTCAGAACTAGAGGAAATCCTGGCTTTGCTCAGGAGTTCACAGGTTGCTTTCTGCTGAATCTCTCTCCACAGCAGCCCACCCCCAAACTGTAGACCTAGATTAAAGGGCAGATTCCCAGCTGCCACGGATCCTTGAGAGAAGGGTCTAGAAGAAGCAAAAGGAGCCACTGGTGACCCTTTAGTGACCTTTCTGACCCTAGAATGCACACCAATTCAGGCTAGGCTGTTATTCCATGTCCTACAACTTAACAACTGCCCAACTGCTATCCTAATGCATCCCTGGAGTGACAACCTCCTTAACACACCCCAAAGTTCCAGTTCGAGCCCTAGATCTGTACAGCCCCTCCATGCCTACCCAGACACTTCTCTTTTCTCATATTTTTGAGTCTCCCTCTAGCTCTCCTAACTTTTCCCAGCTTTTGGGGGCCACCACAGGCAATGGCTAGGGTCCTTCATCCCCAAGCAAGGCTGTGTGCCCCAAAGTCCCCCCGACTCTTGACCCCCAGACTCCAAACTCCTTGCTGTCTTGGGTCGTTCACTGGCGGTCTTGGTCAGGGGCCAGAGGAGTGGGTTTGGCGCCACCTGCTCGGAGCGCCCCTCCTTGACCCCCACAAATCTGCGGGCGGTTTGTGGCGGTCGCTCCCCTCCCGAGCTGGCAGGTGGAGGGAGGCTGTGCCGTGGCAACCGGCCCAGAAGAGGCCCGGGGCGTGGACAGCGCACAGGGTGCTGAATCAGGCACGGGGGAGGAGAAGCGCCGGCAACGGCGCCGGGCTGCGGGAGGACTAGGGGAGCGTGACCCGGGGGGCCGCGGGCAGCAGGAGGAGGGCTGTGGGCGCGCGGCCGCGGCAGGGTCCCGAGCGCCTTTCCCGGGAGCGCGGGAGGGAGGCGCGGCCCTTACCTGGCCGAAGGCGGAGCTGAGCATAGGGCGCAGCTGGTGGAGGAACGGGTCTGCCTCAGACGCGGCGGCTGGAGCGGAGTCCCCGCGACCCGGGGCTCGCAGCGAGCTCCGGAGGCCGAGCGCCGGGGACAGCCCCCGTTCCTCCCCATCCCGCCCGCGGGCCGGCGGCAGCGGCGACGGCGGCGAAGGTCGGGACGCCGCGGCCGGCAGCGCCTCCCGGGGCCTGCAGTGCGCCTGGGGGAGCCCGCGCCGGCTCCCTCGCGCGCCCTCCTCTCGCGGCGCGGGCCGGCACAGGGGCCTCCGCGAACTGGGGTCCCCGGACGGCGGCGGCGTGCCCGGGCAGGTGCCGGGCAGCCGGCGGCTGGGCAGCACCGGCTCCCGGGCAGGGCCGTGGCGGGGAACCCGGCTGCCCCCGCTCGCTGCCGCCGCCTTCAGCAGCGACGTCTTGGACTCGCTTTTGGCGATGTGCGAGCTCATCGCGGCGGGGCCCGCGCTCGCATGGCCCGGCGGGGGCGGCGCGGTGCGGCGCGGCGCGGGGCCCCCGGCGGGCAGAGAGCGGGGCGCCCGGCGGGAGCCAAGCCCGAGGACGCGCTGGAGGCGGGCGCCGTCCCCCGGCCGCTTAAATGCGGCCCCGTCGCCGCCGCCCATGTGACAGCGCAGCCTCTACGCCCGGAGCCCGGAGCTCCCCGGCGGCTGGCAGTGCGGATCTGGGGGGGCCGCCGGCTGTCCCTGAAGAGCCCACCCCCGGCTCCCCGGCGGCCCAGGTACCGCCGCGCCCCGCCCCTTGCCCCGCCCCGCGCTCGAGGAGCCCCGCTTCCGGGCGGCCCCTGGCGGCGGAGGGGGCGCTGCGGCGCAATGCCGGGAGCGCAAGGGAAGGGGCTCGGCGAAGGGCCCAAAGATGCCCAGACCTTGACAGCACCGGCAGTGCCCCTTAACACGCCTGGAGGCTCCCACAGTGCCCTGGAACCGCCGGAACCACCAGAAATGCAGGCGGGGTGCACTCCCCAGGGGGTACAACTTTGGAAATGAGGACGAGAGAGGTGCAGTAAACTAAAAGATGAAGGCTCTATGACACCACTACGTACAGACGCCGAACCAGAATGGCATGGAAGGACATCGCGGGAAGGAAAGGCTTCACTCTGCGGAGCTCTTCATCGACTCCCAGAACCATGGAGTGGGACCAGGATGACCCTGGTAAACCAGCCACAGAATTTTCAGTTCTCACAACAGAAGCCAGGTGGCATCTGTATAACCTGGACTTTGCAGGGCCTGGTGATGATCAAGTCTCAGGTAGGACCCATTTGCTGCCCCTCTACCTCTTGTCCCCCCTCTCACCTTTATGCCCTTCTAGATGTTAGAGAAATTCCTGTTCTTGGTAGGCAGCTAGGGAGTCGCATAGGCCTGGTTTGAATCTCAAATCCCAGCTCTGACACTTACCATCTGGGTAACTTGGGCAAGTGTCATCAACCTTTCTGAATCTTGTTTTCTTTTTCTGTAAAATGCAGATAATAATCCCAAGTAACTTCTTGGTCCCATCCAACGACACCATGCACGTAAAGGCCTCACTGTGTGCTTGGAACAGGGCACTTAAACTAGTTCTCTTCCCTCTGCACCTTATAAGGCCCCATCTACCACTCTTGCTTAGTAATGGGATGGTTAAGACTTGCAGCAGGGTTGGCTGTAAACTTCCCAGGCTCTCCTTGTTCTGGTCTCGGGCCCTGATGCCATCCATGCATGAGAACAGGGAAAGTCTGGTCACCACTTAGCCTCAACAGAAGGATAGATGGACAGATTGCCAATATGCTACACCTCACTCATGCCAAGGGTCCGCCCTTCTCTACACTGCTTTTTTTACATACCCATATGCAAGGAATTAAGAAAAACAGGCTAGGCAGGGAAAGCAACTGCCCAGGGGCCAAAGTGAACAAGTGAAGTATGGCAAATTGTGCCCTGGCTCCTATCTACTATAAGGGACTGAATTGCCATATCAAAGCCACTCAGGTGCCTCAAGCACAAATCCCAAGGTAGGCGGGGGTGCAGCAGCCCTGGAGCCTCATGCCATGTCCACTGGGACATGAAGGGGTCCACCCTCTCAGAGTTTGGGGTCATTCAATCCTACCTTTCCAGCCCTCAGAATAATCAGTGTTCAGCAAGATTAACCACAATGTACATTCTGCATAAATCACAGAAGATAAAGTACCTTGTCAGAATCCTTTAGGAGCCGATGAGAGACAATGGGCTGAAGGGTATTCTAAATCCCTGGGCCACTCTTGCTTATCTTTCTGAAATTCCCTAAATATTCTTGGGCAAGACCTCCATCAGTTTCTGAAAAAGTGAAGAACCTGGTTACATCACCTATGATATTAGAGTAAAGAAAAGAAATCAAGATTATGTTCATGGAGCCAATGGATGAAAGACTTGTGCTCAGATCCTGGATAATCCTGGATATACGCCAGATGCCATTTCATTTGTAAAATTTGTGAATTTGGTCATTCACTTAACAGACCTTTCTAGAACCAAGTACTGTGTTAGGCACCTGGGAAACAAAGATTCATCCATTTATCCAACAAATACTTGAGTGCCTGTTATTTATCAGGCACTGTTCTAGGAACCAGGGACATCGTGGAGAACAAAACAAAGTCTCTTTCCTCAGCCGCAAATAAACAACTATATAAATGCATGGGAAATCAATGGTGACAAATTTGTGGTATTTAGTGCCAGGAGGAGAAATAAAGCAGGTGAGAGAGAAGGGCTTAATGGAGGGTGCCCTTTGAGACGGTGATTAGGGAAGGCCTCTCTGAGGAGGGGACTTTTGAGCAGAGACCCCAATGATGTAAGGGAGAAAGCCATGGAAATATGTGGGGGAAGAGCTTTCCTGGCAGAGGGGCGACAGTTCAGAAGTCCTGAGGAGGGAACAGCTTGGCATATTCAAACAGAAGCAAAGACACAAGTAGGACTGGAGTGTGCAGGGGGAGAGTGATCCAGATGAAACTGGAGAGGAAGGCAGGGGCCAGAGTCAAGGGTGCTGGGTTTTTTCTAAATGTGAAGAGAAACCACTAGCAGGTTTGTGGTAGAGGAGTGGCACATGGCTGTTTACATCGTTAAAGGATCATTGGCTGCTTGGCAGCAAGTTCACTGTTGGATGGCAGTGTGGCAACATGGAGCCAGTCAGGTGCTGTCGCATGGAACAGGTGAGAGAGGATAGTGGCTTGGACTAGTGTTAGTGGGGCAGGTGGTAAGAAGTAGTCAGATTCGGGAGATGGTTAAAGAATTACGGTAAGATTCAGTCCCTGCTCTCAAAGAATTAAAAAAAAAAAAGGAAGATAAAACCCACTATAATATAATGGGAAACATGCAATAATGGAATGACAAGGAAGGTTATATGGGAGCACCAAAGCAGAACCTTTAGGGGAGTGGAGAAGGTGCCAGAGAAGGTGACATTTGGGCTGCATGTTGAAGAAGTAAGATTCCACCAGATGCATAAGAAAGATAAAAGGAAGGTCACTCCAGGCAGCAGAGACAGCTTAGCTGAAGGCTTGGGAGTGTGAACCAGCACAGCGTGTTTGGAGGGGTGGGGTGGGCAGGGACAAGGGCTGGAAGACCAGTCTGAACTAGACTGAAGGATCTTGAATGTGATATTCAGGAGTCTGTCCTTTATTCTATAGATGATATAGAGAGTCCTTGAAGGTTTTATGAGTGTATACGGGACATTAGCAGAACTGTGTTTTTGGAGATAAGGCTGATGCATTGTGGAGTAGATTAGAAGGACACTAAAGGCAAGACTAATTGGGAAATTAGGTTCATTCATTTAACAAAAATGCTTGAGTGCCTATCATGTGCTAGGCATTGGGAATAGAGCAGGAAGTAAGTGAACATCATGCATTTCTTTATGGATTTCAAGTTTGGTGGGGAGGAGATAAGGACTAAAGGCAGAGGCTGGGTCAGATTCAGGAAATAGTTCAGAAACACCATCGTTATGACATGCAAAGTTCTGGATGTGCAAAATGAGAATAGCTTGCCTCACTGATTGTGAGATATAATGGGAATATGGTTACTGCAAAGTATCCTGCCACGTAGAAATAATTTTTAAATAATCCTTTTGGATTATTTATACCTTCATAGCTTTCAAAGCATTTTCACATAAAGCTTCTCACTCGCCTTTAAGTGTTGTACAAATCGTGATTATTAAATAATTACATGTTGTATAACCCGTGGTGAAAGTTATGCAAAAGAAGAATGCTGGCAAGACACCCTAGCACATAAGGGCAGTTAAGGAGAGAAGATGGGTCTGGGACCATGATGTCAGTCCAGAGAGAACAGTGTATTTCGCTGTCTTGATCTCTCATTTCTAAGAGAATCCATTCAGAAGGAGCAAGGCAAGGTTAAGGGCAAAGTTCTTAAAATGTACCCAGATCTCTCATTTAACATACCTCAGTTTGATAAGGTCATGTCCCTGTAGCAGACTCCTCTAAAAACTGCTCTTTCCTGCCCGGGACTGTATGTCATGTTTAGAGTCTTGAAAAAGGTTGTGGAGCGTGTGCACAGCGGTGCTTGAATTCATTCTCCACGTCTTTTCTCGTCTGGCTCATTCCTTTCTGGGGTTGTCAGAATCAAATTCCGCACTTAATCTCTCCCTTGTTTTCAGATAACAAAATCTCTCTGTGAGGCTTCAGAAAGCTGGGATTACAAAATGTTCTTATGGCTTTAAGTCCCCTGTGGTGATTGGGGAACTCATGAAAGGACTGGATGAGAATTTTTTTTAGGGGGGAGAGGGCAGTCAGTGGACTGAATAGGGGATTCCTTTCCAGAAATCTGCCTTTGGACCCAAATGTTCATCACTTAAGAGGATTCCAAGATTTTTAAAATAAAATGAAAAGGGATGTGGGTTACAAGAATATATTCACGCACATGAACTGTCCACTTAAGACTGTACGTTTCACTCTGTATAAATTATAACTCAATAAAAAGAAAAATCAAACAGGACAGAGCAAAAATGATTAATGCTGACAAGGAGAAACAACTACTAGGCTGTCTTAGGGACATAATTACGATTTTAAAATAGTGGCGACTGAACTCAGTTGGTAAGAGGCTCTGACAGTGAGGTGTGGTCATGAGCTGATTCCTGTGTAGGCCATTAACGATCCATGGTTTTGTGGGTACAGTTTGTACCCCTCATCCTAGCTAGCAACTTATGTCTCTATTTGTGTCCTGGTTTCAAGGGCAAAGGAGAGAAAAAGCATAGATGAGGGAAATCCTATCCCCTACAGATGACTGATTGGTCAGAAGTTACCATCTTCTTTTAAGAACAGCATATCTGATCTCCAAATATTAGAACATCCCATCATCATCCTTCTCATTCAGAATATTCCTCCCTTTCTCTCCCCAATCCAGAGCAGTTCTCAGCCTCTCTGAGATCTGGACTGGATGCAGGAAGTGATGACCACCCCCTCCCCACCATGCATTACTCCTTTAATACTGATGCCCCACACCCTGCCCTCCAGCAGTGGAAATACAGTATACAACACACCGGAAGTCACCATGACATCCATGCAGTTTCCATTAGCTGAAATGCAACCCATGTTCAGATGACCTAATGACACTCTAACCACGGTGGCCTCCTTCATTATCAGTCTTCCCCACTAGACTGTGTGTTCCATGAAAGCAGAGACAGGGTCTGTTTTATTCACTACTGGATATCCAGCACCTAGCACAGTGACTGACACATAATAGCATAGTAGGTGCTCACCTAATGTTTAGTGAATGAATAACAACTTAAAAGAAAGCAAATGTTATTTATGGAAATTAGTCCCCTATGCTTGGACTCAGTGCGGGGAAATGGAATTGAAAGAAGATTCTATCTGGTTTGTTTTGCTTGTCTCCTTCAGACAGATCATTTCTGCTGTATGTATATACAACCTGGATCCTGAGTGACCAGCCAGCATAAAGGGACATGTGACCTTTAAGAACCGGGCATGTTTTTGCCACAGGCAGGAGGGTTCTATGTTTTAATTGCCTGGAGGTTCCATCCAAAATCAGAGTCAGCCAACAGTGCAGTCTGTGAGCAGGGCGGTTACATCTGTGGCACTTGGAGTTGTGCCTGGTCCTACACCAAGCAGACCTCCTGGTACCGCACAGTTGGAAACAAAGTGGGTTTGGCAAAGGAAGCACACGGTGCTGCATGGAAAGGTAGAGCTACTCATGAAACTACCTAAAATAAGACCCTCTCAACGGACTAAAGTATTAGCACAGGGATGAGAGGCACTTGGGAGCTCAAAGATACAACTATATTTCAGTATTTTAACAATTGAAAGGCAATCCCAGAGCATGTCAGCTGATTTCCGGTCCTAAGCATTAGTGGAACTATCCCCACCATGGGATGTCCAAGAAGCCTCTGCTTCCTAGGAAGCTGCCACTTCCGGGTTTTTAGATGAGATGTATAGGCAGTGTCTTTGCCCAGACATCTAGACATTGTGGTTCTGGCTGACAGGGCCCTGCCTGGAGGCTCCTCACCTTACACAGGTCTCAGATAATTTTCCTTTAGCAAGGGTGACATCACTGACCTGAAGGTGGATTTCAGGCAACTGCCCTCCCTGTGTGGGGAACAATCCTTCCTGCAGGTATGCAACTCACTGTAAGAGAGAGAAATTCAGAGGCCTTAGCAAGCAGATCTCTCCTCTCCCAGCTCTGACACAGCCAGCCCTGTCCCTCGGCTATATGTAACCCAGCAACAAGGATGTTTATGGGGACCAGGCTGGATGAGGAAGTCGAAGGTCTGGAGCTAAAATCTCCAAAGACACTCAACCTTCAATGGAGGAGGGCTTTTAGAAAAGATCCGGCAAATTCTCTGCCCTTTCAACTTCACTTTCTGTTCTCTTTTTATCTGCTTTCAGCATTTCCAATTAATCTTGGAATGAGAGCCCAAGGCAAAAAGCCACTGGTGCCTGAGGAATGCTAAAGAGCAAGCTGATCCAGGGAAACAAATGCCAGCAAGGGACCCCACAGCAAAGAGACAGACACTGTGAGCAACTCTCCTGTTACCATGAGGCTTGCGAGGCGTGTGCGCGGGTCTCCGCACTGGCACCATCTGCCAATTCCTCAGGAGGACAGAACAAACCAGCGAGGCATGAAGATTAGATTATGTAACGCTCGAGGATTGCTGTTTGCAAAGAGGAAACAAATGGAACGAATTGATTTGCTTGTCAGAGTCATGTCACTAAAGGAGACCCGTTCCCTCCTCTTCCAAGAGGACCTCGTTAAAGAGGGGAATGATTTCACAGACTCAGAAAATGTGAGACCACAATCGACTCCATTCATAAGAGCAAGTCTAATTTCCAGAGATGCACTGATAAATCCTAGTCTGGTCCCCTTGCCTGAAAAATGACTGTTCAGCTCCTACCTAAAAGGTACCAACATGGCAAGAAACATTAACTGCCAGTTGTCAGCCACAGGATTCAGAACCTGGGTCTTTGCCTGAACTGAACTCTCTTGCTTCTCGGGAAGCAGCATCTAATTTTGAGACCTGTGGGGTCATGTTTACTATTCAGAGCTCTAAACAAGTGTTTTGATAGAGTGAGGATGTATTCTTAAAAATACACGCCTCAGGAAGGAGAGCTCATTGCATTTCTGAGATTCTTTTGCCATTGCTGAGCTTCTCTCAAAATGCCCAGCACAATACTTTTTATAATATGTTCAGTTGGTCTGAAGAATGAACAAATGATAACCGCGAACCTACTGCCATAGAGCCATTCCTAAAGGTTTCACTGTCTAAGATACTAAGATTTATATAAGTCTTTATTCAACATGGAAATGAAGCCTACTGTACCAGATATTTTCCATTTGCCCCTGCTGATCCGCTTTTCCATCCATCCTGCTCTTTGCCCTGGGGTGCTGACCCATATGGACTACATCATCGACTCACTCCTTTGCCCTCTAGTTTCCATCTGGGTACAGCCAATGGGAAGCAGCAGCCGAAGATTGGAGGGCAGAGGGAGAGTGAGGCTGAAGTACTTATTCCCCCAGTTCCCTCCCTGCCCCACAACGCCTGAGGTTGGTTTTGTCTTTTGATAAAAGGTCACTGCTCCTTCTCAAGGCAGCTCTCTCCACACAACTCTCTTTCTGGGTTCTGTATCTTCTCCCTCCCTTCACTTTCAGATCTAGGAATGGTAAAGATCCCAGCTATTACTAGCCCCCTGGGTACCACACTATCCCTCTGGTTTCCCTACACCCTACCCAAACCTTCGTAAATAGTCCCTTTATTAAACGCTCCTCTAATTATCTAATTTGAGTGTGCCATCTGTTTTTTATACAGACCCTGACGGATACACCTACCACGTGTCAGTCTGTTCCAGGCCATGCACCACAGTTTAAAAAAAAAGGGTAGCAAAAGTAATATTACAATACACTACTACTTTATAGTTATTCTCAATGTTCACCTTTTCACAAGGCTATAATAACAACTTAAAGATAAAACCTAATTCCTCTTTACAACATAATTGTGCAGTAGAGTTTGTATGAGCTAAATATAATTCAGAGAACAAGCTTTTTCATGCCATCAAAATTCATGCTAACAGCTACAAAGAAAGAACTGCAGAACTGATGCCCCTGACTTGAGATTTAGCAGAAAACAAATTCCAGTATTTAAATCAATCACACAAATATTCAAAAGCCTACCATGTGGCCAGTGAGGAACAACACAGACGTGGACTCTGACTTTGTGAAACTTCGTCTTATTTTATGCAATATATGTGCTCCTAACAAGCTGAATACAAGCTGTATTTCCATAAATCAAATAATATGTGGTATGATCATGGGGAGCTTGCTATCTGAATAATAATTTTGTAAAATAATCACCCTGCGATCTCTTGAAACAATCCAGATTTTTCATCTATCCAGAGTACTTCAAATGAAATTTATCTTTAGTCTGTGGGGAGGATTGGTCTCCTTCGGTGCTCCTGGAACAGCAGAAATTGTGGAATGGAATTGAGAGGAAAGGCAAGGGAACTGCCATCTATAGATCACAAATAGAATGCTGAGCAGTTTGCATCTGTTAGCACATTTAATCCTGGAGGTAGATACATATTCCATCCTTCCCTTATTTTCGACTTCTGAAAAGTTAAAAAGAAAAAAAAATTAGTATGGCAGGTGTGGAATTCAAAATCCGCATTTTTGAATGAGAAAGCAAGACCAAAATACTATTCAGTGCAGGACTATAAAGATCACATTATTCCCCAGCTTCAGGGCCTTCCCACTGCTCTTAGGACAGAGTCCAGAATTCTTTGCACAGCCACCATTCCCGCCTCAGCTCTCTCGACCATCCAGGCTTCTTCCCTCTTGAAGGCCTTTGCACTCCGTTCCCAGATCTGCCTGCAGGTCTTGCCCTCCCCTTCTCTCCAGACTAACTCAGGTTCATCCCTGCGGTTCCTGCTCCGTTTACACTTCCCAGGGAATGTCAGCTGGGCCGTGTCCCCGTATCCCTCCCACCAAACAACAACGAAGGGCTGAACACGCCTGCTGCCTGTCTGAACAAATGGGGAAGGGTTACCCAGGACGGCTGCCCCGCCTGATGGTTTCCACCATTTCTCTGCTTGAGTGTCCTTTGGTCCCAGGGGCCCAGGAAAGCCTCTTAAAAATGGAAAGGCCAGGGGCTAGCCCCGTGGCTGAGTGGTTGGGTTCACACGCTCTGCTTCTGCGGCCGAGGGTTTCACCGGTTCAGATCCTGCGTTGCGGGCATGGCACCTCTCATCGGGCCATGCTGGGGCAGCATCCCTCATGCCACAACTAGAAGGACCCACAACTAAAAATACAAAAGTATGTATGGCGGGAGCGGGGTGGGGGGGGGCGGTTTGGGAGAAAAAGGAAAAATAAAAAAATCTTTAAAAAAAAATGGAAAGGCCAAAAGAACCTCATTTGAAGTTCCAGAAGGTCTTCGCTTTCTCTCTCCTCCTCAAGCCTAAACCCAGGCGCTCCAGGACCTGGAGCTCACGACAGTCCCAAGCGTCCCAACAGGAGCATAGGAAACCTCGAGCCTCACACTTTGCAAAGCGTGCGGCCGTAGCCACAGAACTAGTGGAGGCTGCGCATGCGCGAAGGATTGCTCGTCACGTGATCTCTCCCCCCTAGCCCGGATGTTGCGGCTGTGGTTGAACGTGGCCCACCTGAGGGCAGGAGGCGGCCAAGGGTTGGGAGGGGCGTTCTAGGGATCGCAGGGAAGTTAGTGGAGGTTCGGGATGCATTGAGCGTCCCCTGGGGTAGGCATTGGACTGAATTAACTCCCTGAGTACTCTCAACGTCCTTGTGTAGTAGCTATTGGTGTGTCTATTTTACAGATGGAGAAAGTGAGGCTTCTGTGGGTTTGGGGGCTGGTCCAAAGGCCCAGGTAGTGACAGTCCTGGCAGAGAAACCCAGGTTTCTCTGGCTCCCAAATGCCCAGGCTCTCTTAGGCCCTTGCTCATCCTTCAGAAGTAAAGTTTGTTTTCCCAAAGAGTGGTCACTACTGGGAGAGAGTTCCCTCTCTCCTTCCCCAGTAATCTGAGCCGCTTGTGTCCCTGGGTTCATATCCTGGCTGTGTGACTTTGGGCAAGTCATGTCACTGCTGAGCCTCCGTTTCACTTTTTTTTTTATTTGAGGAAGATTAGTCCTAAGCTAACATCTGCCCCCAATCCTCCTCTTTTTGCTGAGGAAGACTGGCCCTGAGCTAACATCCGTGCCCATCTTCTTCTACTTTATGTGTGGGACGCCAACCACAGCATGGCACGCCAAGCGGTGCCATGTCTGCACCTGGGATCCAAACCAGCAAACCCCCAGGCTGCCAAAGTGCAATAGCCACTGCTGCCATGGGGCTGGCCGAGCCTCCGTTTCATCATCCATAAAATGACAATATTGCCTGCCTTCCATTGCTGAAGAAAATTGTCTTCTAACAAAGATGTAGTGAAGCCTACCAGATGCTGGGTAGGCCTGGGGTGTGCCAGAACAGAAGAGCTCATGGCATTAGATGAGATGGTGTGTAAACATGCTGATAAATTCCAAAGCCCATTAATAATACATGTAGTATGTTAGGTGATGGCAGTGCCATGGAGAAAAATGAAGCAGAGGAAGGGAATAAAGAGCATTGCATGGGTGCAAGTTTAAGTGGAAGAGTCAGGGAAGGCCTCAGTGAGAAGTTGGCATTTGAGCAAAGACCTGAGCAGATGAGGGAGAGAGACCTGCCAGGGATTGTTCTAGAAACTTGGGCAAGTTTGGACCCATTTTCCATTAAGAACAGATGAGATCTAAAAATGGGCCTGGCATCCCCACTGGAGCCCGCAGTTCTCCTCCGGGCTTCCCTTGTTGGAAGGTGGGCAGCTCTGCTGTGGGTTTCTCACAGCTGGCTCCTGGGGAAGTGGAAACAGCTGTTACAGGTACGAGGCTTCACAGCCAACAACCTCCTCCCTTGCATCTCCAGAGAAGTGGATGTTTCCATCAGTTAACTGGAGAAGGGTCTGCCATGCCCTTGGAAAATTCTTTTTGCTCCATTGAGAACAAAAAGAAGCAGGAAGACAGAATTAGGATAGGTGCTGACATTTTGCTGGAATGTCCCATCTCAGGCAGGTTCCCAAACACATGTAGAGGCTCATTCACACGAATGCATCTGCTCGGAGCCCCTAAACATAGATACAAGAGTGTTGGCACATCTCTGCTCGCAGGCTTAAACACTCTGCACAGAGAAGTCTAATCGGGGAGGAAAATATCAAGCCAGGCCTGGGCCAGCTCTCCTTCTAGCAAATGTACTGAAAAAAATTCTCAGGAGCCAGAATGAAGGGAGAGAGCCCCAGGACTGTCCAAACTGGGAGGGCTCTGAATCCAACAGACTGAGGCCCAGAGAGGTGAGGTTAGCTGTCCAAGGTCACACAGCAAGTCTGAAAATCCCAGTGAATTCATGCAGTCAACAAATATTTTTTTAGTGCTATCTATGTGCCAGGCACTGCTTTAGGCACTAGAGATACAGCAATGATCAAAACAGACAAAAATTGCTGTCCTCCCAGAGCTGACATTCTCATAGAGACAGACAATAAGATGATAAATGAGTAATACATGTAGTATGTTAGATAATGGCAAGTGCCATGGGGAAAAGCTAAGCAGATAAAGGGAATAAGGAATGTATTGAATGGGTGTAATTTTAAGTAGAATGGTTAGTGAAGGCCTCACTGAGAAGGTGGCATTTAAGCAAAGACCTAAAGTACGTGAGGGAGGAAGACGTGCCAGTATCCGGGGGAAGAGTGTCCCAGGAGGAGGAAACAGAGCAGAGGCCCCAAGGCAGGAATGTACCTCGTGTTGTTCCCAGGAGAAGCAAAGAGGCCACTGGAGTGAAGAGTGCAGGTGGGAGGGAGCCAGAAGGAGCAGGAGCCAGATGGAGTCTGAACTTTGTAGGCCACTGTAAGGACTTTGGCTTTACTCCAGATGAGATGGAAAACGATTGGAGAGTTTGGGGCAGAGAAATGACGTGATCTGACCCGATAAAAAAAGTCTGAAGCTACTGCTAGTCATTCATTCGTTCACTCATTCACTCATTCAAGCCTCTTAGGTGCCAGGCACTCTGCTGATGACAAGCTAGACACCCCCAGAGTGAGCCACGGGGCACTTGAGCATGTATTTTGTGCTAATTGGAGAGTCCAGAGGAAGGAGGAAGGAGGCTCAGCCGTGGCCTTCCTCCACCACTTGCCTTCCCCTCCTCGCCCTGCAGCCCAGGGAGAAGGGCCCTAGGTAGCTGCTGGTCTCCGTGCTCGTGCTTGGGAGGCTGCTAGAACCTGCAGGTTATAAATAGCATCTCCTACGGCTGGAAATCGAGCTGCTCCGTCTGAATGAGTCAGAGGCGCAGAGCCACAGCCCCCCAGACTGCAGCAGCACTCCCCACCCCCCCACTCTACCCCCGGCTCCCATGCTGACCTCTTAATCAAGGCCAAGCCTCTGCTTCTCACCATGACCCTCTCTGGCCCTGCCACTTCCCCCTTATCCCAGGCTCTACCTCCTGGCGCGCCAGAAATCCCACTCATTCATTAGTTCTGAGAGACAGGATTGCATACTATTTAAAAGCCCAAGATGAGCACTTGGGCATCCCTGGATTTCAGGCCCAGCTCTGCTACTGCCTGGCTATGTGACCTTGGGCAAATCACCTTCACTTTCACTGCTGGGAGCCCCATTTCCTCATTCATAATAATAATAGTATTACAATAATACTATTGTGATATTATGATGATTATAACAACAATAGTACCTACTTCGTGCATATAGTAGCTGTTCAATTAATGGAGTGACAGTCCCTGTGCCCAATTAGATTATAACCCGAAGAAGTTATAGTAAATAAGAAAATGACAGCTTTCATCTATTCTCCTGAACATTCATCATGTATTGGATGTATGGTTCCTGACATATAATGCAGTATCTCTGCTCTTCATAACCAAGCAAATTTCACCATCTCCATCTTAGACAGGAAGAAACCGAGGCTTGCAGGGAGCTGGACTTTTCCAAGCCATACAGTACCTGGTAGGCGGAATCAGATATGAGCAGAAAGGCATAAACCCTTCCCTCAGGCCCGGTGGGCATGTGCAGCCACTTGCTCCAGCCCATCCACGCCTGACGTGCCGCTGCCTTGGAGGGGAGTGGGGACGAGGGAAAGAAGGGTGGCAGGTGGCTGAGGGTGCAGAATGTCTCTGCTTCCTGTGGCTTCCACCTCCTGAGATGAGAAGCCTTCTGCCACCTCCCCAAAGCCTAGACTAGACCAGCTCTCCTTTGGGTGTTGTTGAGTAAAA